CAGTTAAGCACAGAACAAATCATTGTCAAGTGGAAATCGCCCATTGAAATGACTGTTTTGTGAATTGCTATAGCGATTGCAAAAAGTCATTGTCATGCGGATTCTTCGTTTAGCGGGGTCGTCGTTGTGTGTAGAGGTAAACAACTGATAAGAAAACAAAGGAGCAGAGGGGGGAAAACCTCCTTGAGTCCTGAAAGACGTTGTCATGCGGATTCATTGTTTAGCGGGGTAGTTTAGCGAGGTACCACTGTATATAGAATGTTCAAATAATTAAGGGTTCTGCAGAAAACGAAATCCTGAAAATGAACATTGTGCTTTAAAAAGACTGGAACAGCTGTATACCAAATGTCAAAAATAAGCTCTCTAACCAAGCCTGAAAGCAAGATCGATGTAAACTAACATTGCCTCACATACAGTTGTGTGTAGAGGCAAACAACTGATAAGAAAACAAAGGAGCGGAGGGGGAGGAAAACCCCTTGAGCCCTTAAAGACAGATGGAAGGAATTGGTATCAGAACAACATGGTTCACCAGCACTTTCCAATCATGTCATTTTGCCTATCTAATAAAATGGTACCCAAATAACCTGCTATTCCTGCAGGTGCAGGGACCCATTTAGTCAAAATAAATGCTGTTATCTGCCACAGTATCAACTTATAAATGCTGTTATCTGCCACAGTATCAACAGTATCAACAATTCAGTCTGGAATTTGAATTTGAAGAGGCCCTTGTCCAGCAGGCTGAGGCAAAGAGGCAGTCCCGAAAGCAGCAAAATCAGGGCGCTGGCTAGGGGACAGATTTTATTTGTTTTCAGTGTGGAAGGGACTGTCCCTCTCGAATTGGCCTTCTCAGCCACACTAGATGCTGTTCCAAGATCTCTATTCAGAGCATGTTAATGTCGTCTCTCGAGACTGAAGGATGCCTGCTACTATCAACTTGCAAGCCCCGTGATTTATGAGAACTATATTTTGCCACTCTGGTAAAAGCAATAGAGATTCCTATTTAAAAAAAATTCTGACCATTTACGAAGACTGGTAACTTACTACAATGGCAAAATTAAAAATTCTGACCATTTACGAAGACTGGTACTGTAACTTACTACACTGGCAAAATTAAGCTGTTTACAGTTGAAGGGAAATGTAAACAATTGAGTGGAAAATGAATATAAGGATGCAAGAGACACCCAACATGCCATGATTCCACATCCACAGACACCAGACACCAACAGCACAGATACTGGGCACCTGCCAGCAGCAGGTGTGTGGCAGTACAGCGGCAGGCTTTATTTCCAGAAGCCAGCAACACAACCAACATGAATGTCTCTACAGAGATCCAAATATCGTAAGATACCTTGGATCTTTCAGGAGAAAGGTGAAGAAGACTGGGGCCATCAGTCCTGGCCCTTTCAGGAGAAAGGTGAAGAAGACTGGGGCTACCAGTCCTGCCTTAATTTATTAATTAACAGATAAACAGAAAACCTCAAACAAACAACCTGGCCAATGCCTGGCTTGGCTGGGTGGGAACACAGGGGTCTGATGTTTTCCTAGATGTCTAATAAAGGTCTATTGGATTCTTAGGAAGTTATTCAGCTATCAGACTTTCCGACCAGACAGACTCACCGTGCTGGTGGCTGAAAAACCCCTGGAAAACCACAAAGTTGTTCACCTGAAAAATATATCAAAAAAGTGTTATTGTGTATTAATTAATTACTAGCTGTCAGTTTATTATTCACTGAAAAGACATAAACATTAAAAAGGTGGCGCAATCCAGTCACGCCGCCCCCTTGTCCCCTCCCCTCCCACTCCTTCCTTCCTTCCCTCTCTCCCCCTCTACTGTTGTGACATGTCCCGGCCACATTCCAGCCACAAGCACCAGCATTGTAACTTGAAACTTTGGAATTTCTTTAAAAATAAAAAATTGCACTGGGCTGCATTATGAGCTGACCTGGGCCACATGCGGCCCTCGGGCCGCAGGTTGGACAAGCCTGGTCTATTGGGTTCTCAGGAAGTTGTTCAGGTATCAGACTTTCCAACCTGACAGACTCACCATGCTGGTGGCTGAAAAACCCCTGGAAAACCACAAAGTTGTTCACCTGAAAGAAAAATATGTCAAAAAAAGTTTTAATGTGTATTAATTAATTACTAGCTGTCAGTTTATTGCTCACTGAAAGACATACACATTAAAAAGCAAGCAAACAAACCCTTCCCTCCTGATGGGATATTTGTAAAGTCTCCGTAAGGAGAAAAAACCCAACACTTTGCTTTTGTCACAGGTTGTCCACAGACTTGTTTCTGCCTTAGCCCTGGGCAAAACCCCAGGAAAGATGCTGCAGTTTAGTATTGGGTCGCAAGCTAAGGCTCTGGGTTAAATCCTTGGCATTTACAGTCAAGAGATCCGAAGGAAGGCTACGGATCTCAACAAGAAAGCTCTTGGCTATCTAGACTGGCTGTTAAAAAGCTCTTTTGGCTTATCAGATGAGAATCAAGAGAAACCAGAAGTCTTCAGTTTTTAATTTTTCCTAAGTTTTTCATTTTTCGTGCCTCCAGGTGCACTTCTTCAGATGAATGAAGTGGCTGTTTAGGAGGGGCAGCCACTCCATAAAACTGTTGGCAGGGAGGGTGTGTCAAGGAGGACAACAATGGAGTATGCTGATCTTGGTTAAGATCCTCAGCTGTCTCCTAGACAGATCCTAATCTCTACCACTGTGATGGGAGTTGATCACTGCCTATTGTCTATCAAAAATCTTCTTAACCCAGGACCTTTCCCCACCACATTGCTATAGTCCTACATTCCTTCCATCAAGCTTAAAAGACAACAGAGCAGTATCCCAGCTGACGTCTCAAAATGTTATCTTCTCTGTTCAATTCCAAATCCAAAATTAACAAAGGTAGTCAAATTTTGAAGAATTTGCCTTCTTTCATTTCTCCTCTAAGCAGTCTTAAATGAGTAGCTAATTTTTCCATCAATGCTTCTATCCAGACATCTTTGGAAAGTCCTTGAATGTTTTTCCATGGTCAGGCAATTTCAATTCTTGCAACCCCTACAACTCTTTTATCTACTAAATTGTCATTCTCTCCAGTAAATAATGAGGCCAGTGAAGTTTCATTAGAAACTATCTCTTGTTGTGTTTGCTTGCCCATAATGTTGTCCTTTCTTGATACAAACCCCTTCCCAACAATTTTAAACTCCTTCCAAAGAGCAGCCACTCCATTCATCTGAAGAAGTGCTCACGGACACACAAAAACTTATTTAAAAAAAAAAGTTACGTCTCAAAGGTGTTACACTGCCTCTGATTTATCTTACGCCACAACAGACTAACACAGCTCCCGGTTAGATTACTTTTCTTCAAATGGGAATGAAAATGGAGAACTCTTCACTGAAATTCACTTGCCTTCTGCCTCCTGATCAAGTCACTTCTCCATGTAATATCAACTGAGGCTGCTACAGCAATACTTGATGCAAGATATTATTGCTTAGAATTGCTCTGCATGGGTTACTACTATATCATCATGATTGTTGATGCTGCATATTGCTATTGCTGAAAGGCTGCCTGGATGTTAGCAACGTTTTTGTCATTGTTATTTTAATAATAATGACAAATACATTTTTATTTTAATAATTACTGCAAAACAGAGTGGTCTTAACCAGCTAGATAGGCGGGATATAAATAAAATTAAATAAATAAATACATAAATACATAAATACATAAATACATAAATAAATAAGTGACAGATAGGATGCACTAACCTGATGGTGAAAATTTTTCCCATTTGGATCATGTCCCTCTGTTTCTATTATAGTTTGTAACATAAACTGTATGTGTTCTCACCGCTCTTTCCACAAAATATTACTGTTCTCTCTCAAGTAAACCATCAGATAAACAAATCTAATGCTACACCATGACCCATAACATTTGTATAACAAGAAGTGGAAACATTCCAACAGGGTTTTTAAAGATTTGATTCTTCATGTATTTTTTTTTTACCACAAACTCTTCTTCAACAAAGAAACTCTCTAATGTCCTCTGATATATTTAAGAAAGATTACTAGAACCTATCTGCAGACAAGTTTATTTATTTATTTTATTTATTTATTCAATATACTGATACCATCTGGCTGCCAAGGACACTCTGGGTGGTCCAAAGCATATGTTCTCATATATTTAATTTAAAGCATCACTTCCTGCATCATGAATTGCAGAACTACTCAGTATCATGCCATACTATCTCTTTTCAGAACCCATATGTATCCAGACACCCAGTGAATAGTCACGACACAATAAATCTCTGCTGATGAAATGAATTGGACTTGGTGTTGTAAACAGTGCAAATAGAAGGCCACTGGGAAGTATGTGCAAGTTTCCCTGAAGATTTTGGAGAAAATGTAAGATTAAAAAAAAAGGAGAAGACTAAAATTCTGATCTTCTCTCACTTAATCCTATGCTGCTATCCAGCATTCATTAGGGCTGTTTTGCAGCCATTTCTATCTCCTTTAGAGGCATCCATATAGAGTCACAGAGTTGGAAGAGACCATTTGAGGCCATCCAGTCCAACCCCCTGCCATGCAGGATATCTCACGTCAAAAGATCTTAACAACCAACAATGAAGAGATTATAGACTTTGATTAAAGTATATGCAGGGTTTCATTCATTTTCAAAAAGTAGAATCATTGTCAGGGTTTCCCCTGCCCTAGTAAAATGATTCTGTGTAATCCAGGGTAGGCAAGGGGTGGCCCTCCAGATGTTACACTCTGCCTCTTCCAGCATTCCTCACAACTACCTAAAGAGATGAGGGTAGGCAGAGGTTGTAGCCTAAAAACACTGGAACACCTCCCCCCCCCATCCTCACCTACAGGCTATTTCACAACAGTAGACTGAACAGAAGGACTCACCTGGGGGATTGTGTCACTCAAGTTGTAATGTTTCCGGAGAAAGCACAGGAGTTTCTCTGAGGGTCGGTCCACAGCCAGCTGATAAGGCTGTACTCGCTCCCGCTTTATGGGGGGAAAAGACAGGGAGAAAAAGATGTAGATGAGCCTGGGAGTGGAGTGAAGGATGATATATAGGAGTTGTCTCTAAACTCACTATAGGGCCTGCCAATGTTTCTTGTGAGTCTTGAAGCAAGCAAAGGCACTTTTAACTAAAGGAATTAGCTACCTGCCCTGCCAGCATATTCTTAGTCTGAGGAAACCATACCCTTACCAATGAGCAAATCAGACAGAAGGGAATATGGTGCTTGAGAGTGAGTTAGTTAAGTATCTGGTTGCAGAGTCAGAGGTTGGGAGTTGAGTCTACCCCTCTGTACCTCCTGAGACAAGAGTCACCTATGTAGCTATGGGCAAGCCACACAATCCCAGGGCTCCCCCAGAAGAAGGGAACAGTAAACCACTTCTGAGTACTTCTCCCCTGGGAAACTGTGAAAAGCATCACCTTAAGTCAGAGTTGATGGCATGCAATTATTATTAATTATGGCATTTGCTTAGCAATTGACTAACAAACTCCTGAGCCTGGAAGGAACTAAATAGCTCTGATGAGGCTATAGCCACTTCTCAAGCTCTTCTTCTCTTAAACAATGAAGCTCTGTTGTGAGCCTCGTGAGAGCAGCACGCTTTTTTGCTTTTGGTAGCTAAATGTCCTTTATTCATTAAAATATTCATACCATCTCTTCCCCTCCAACTCCAGGAGTTTCCATTTCAGAAATAAAACAAAATCATTAGAACAAAAACAGCAGCAGCTATTAATAACAAAACAGTGGAGACACAATCCACGTGAATTCGTCAGGCCACAAAAACCATACAGAGCACAAAAAGTGCTAATAAACAGAGGGTTCCTCCGTTGTACAAGAGTTTCTGCTCATTCTACACAAAAAGTGCTAATAAACAGAGGGTTCCTCACCTGTACGAGAGTTTCTGCTCATTCTACCTACACCATAGGAAGTGAATGAATGAGTGCTTACTGAATGAGCCATAGTGGTTCTATAAATCTTGACCCACCCAGAAATGATTAGAGTAGCTCTGGGGCTATGGCAACTGCAACAAGAGGTTGCCCCTTTATAAGACAGGTGGGCTTGGAATGTTAGCTTAGGACTTGCAAGATCCTGGTTCTAGTCCCGGGTGAGGCCTAAAATGTACCTTTTGCCATTCATTCTCTGTTGGTCTGACCCCACCCCACAGGGGTGTATTAACAAGACAGTGAGGAGTAAGAATCACAATTGCGATTGCAAAAAGATCATCGTTAAGCAGATTCATCCTAATGCGGGGTAATTGTAAAGCGAGGCACCATTGTACACCACAGGAAGTGACTGAATGAGTGCTTACTGAATGAGCCATAGTGGGTCTATAATCTTGACCAACCTAGAAATGATTAGAGTAGCTCTGGGGTATGGCAACTACAAGAGGTTGGTATAGTGCAGGGCTTGGAATGTTAGCTTAGGACTTGCAAGATCCTGGTTGTAGTCCCGGGTGAGGCCTAAAATGTACCTTTTGCCACTCATTCTCTGTTGGTCTGACCCAACCTCACAGGGGTGTACTAACAAGACAGTGAGAAGTAAGAGAGAGATGCAGATCACCTCAAACTCACTGCGGGAATAGCAAAATATATATTTTAGTAGTTAATAAACAAAAATGACTAAACTGAAGCAACTGCGCTTGGGTATATAATGGAAAGCCTGCCCTGCCTTGAAGAAACAAAAATGCTAGGAAAAGCAGAAGGCAGTACAAAAAGTGGAAAACTAGATGTGAGAAAAGGTTGATGCACCAAAGCAAGCCGTGACCTTGACTTTGGAAGATCAGCGCAGGGGGGGGTGAACAGCAGAACCTTTTGTAGTCCCGGGTGAGGCCTAAAATGTACCTTTTGCCACTCATTCTCTGTTGGTCTGACCCAACCTCACAGGGGTGTACTAACAAGACAGTGAGAAGTAAGAGAGAGATGCAGATCACCTCAAACTCACTGTGGGAATAGCAAAAAATAAATTTTAGTAGTTAATAAACAAAAATGACTCAACTGAAGCTACTGCACTCGGGTATATAATGAAAAGCCCGTCCCCTGCGCTTGGGTATATAATGGAAAGCCTGCCCTGCCTTGAAGAAACAAAAATGCTAGGAAAAGCAGAAGGCAGTACAAAAAGTGGAAGACGGGGTGTGAGAAAAGGTTGATGCACCAAAGCAAGCCGTGACCTTGACTTTGGAAGATCAGCGCAGGGGGGGGTGAACAGCAGAACCTTTGGAAGGTCATTAATTCATAGGCTTGTTGCAAGTCAGAAGTGATTCAACAGCAGATAACAAGAACTAACAAATGGTAACAGATTCTCACAGAGATAGATGTTTCTAATGGAAAAGACTCCCTGGATGGGGCTTTACCTCCTGCCCATTGTCAAACTGATCCCCCAACTGATAATCAGGAAATCTCCTGATTCCATAGGAATGCTGAAGGGCGTTGGCTTTTCATCATGACAAGGCTCAAAAACAGTCACTTGGCTCGGTAAGAGGATCACAACAGAAAGACTCTTCCTGGATTCTATACTCCAGAGGGAAAAAGAACAGAACCACACCTGCAACATGTAATGGAACAGCTCCTTGCCATAGCCATGTCTCTGGAGGGACTCGTGTATATAGAAGTCCAGGACACACAGTGGTTCTACTTCATTGTGAGCTCCATGGCGGTCCTGAAAGAAAAGGAGGAGGCTTGAAAGGTGCATTAGCTCCATTCAGAACCCACTGGGTCATGCATGTGGCACCAGAATGAACAAAACTTCACATCTCCAGCCACCTTCGAGTTTTCATGTTAACTTCTACTTCCCCTTGTGAAAAGCCCCAATACCCTAGATCCAACATGAGCCTTATTTAGAGTAGACCTGTTGAGGAGCCTTGTGGTTAAACAGTAGCACTGCAGCCAAACTGTGCTCACGACCTGGGGTTCAAATCCCAGGTAGCCGGCTCAAGGTTGACTCAGCCTTCTATCCTTCCGAGGTTGGTAAAATGAGTATCCAGCTTGCTGGGGGGGGGCAATGTGTAGCCTGCATAATTAAATTGTAAACTGCCCGGAGAGTGCCTGAAGCACTATGGGGTGATATACAAGCAGCATTCTCTGCTCTCTCTTTTTTTTTGCTTTGTTGAAACTGAGAGCAAAAACTTAGTAGAAAAAGGCATTTAATTGCTGAGAGATGCTGGGTTCAGTAACAATTAAACTCAGCTAACCCATTTTTATCAGCTTTCCTATTTCTGAAAATGGTACAATTGGTTCTTTTGCTTTCAATGTCAATAAGCCTACTCTAAGTAGGATTAACATTGGGCTCAGCCCTAAATCAGGAATTTGTACACTTATTGCCAACATTGCTTTAGAGACATCTGCGCCACTTCTATCCAAAGCATGCAATTTTCTTAAAAACAAAAACCACATACAGCTCTTTTATTCCCCAGCAGTAAAGATCTGCTTTCCACACGTCCACTTTTCAGCCACCTTTTGGGTTAACCATGGAGAAAGGAAGTTGTTTCAACCAACATGTTCCTATCACTCAAGCCTCCCATATATTTGGAAGTGTTTTCAAACCCTTAGCATCCTAAGCACTCAGTTCTGGAAAGTTACTGCCTGGACCAACTTGCTCAACCTGGTGCCTGCCAGATATTTTGGCTGGAGAGGTGACGCAATTTGTAGTCCAACACACCTGGAGGCCACTGGAGGAAGGCCAATCTGGAATATTCTTCCTCAGGAAAAATAATTTGGTCAGAAAGGTACTACTATAGGTAGATTTTTCAAAACACTGATGATAATCCTCACAGACATTTCATACAGAAAGCTTTAATCTTGTTGAGAAAACTAGAAACCTTTTTGCACTGGAGGCAAAGTTCAAAGGGAATTTTCTTGTAAAGCTTACCAGCACGAAGAGTTTTTTGTATCCAACCTTGAGGAAGCCAATGATAACTCCCTTCCCAGCCCTAAAGAAGCAGTAAAAAAAAGAAAAGAAAAATATGACGCGTTAGTAACAGATGAATAGGCATTGGGTCACTGAGACAAGAGTGGCCTAGGCGAACCCATTTTCTCTTTCTCTCTCTCTCTCTCTCCAAAAGAACGATGTATTTGCAGAGCTGGTAGTCTGAGAGCACATGTCGTTGGCCAGTAGCTCCTGACTGCCATAACCAACACAGCCAACGGTAAGGGATTATGGAAGACACATTCCCCAAACATCTGGAGGGCCACAATTACCTCTGAACCAAAATGAAGGTCCCACAAGAAAATGCTACATGTGCGCTGTCAACTAATGGAGAGGTGGCCTCCAGCTGCTGTCAGATGGCAAGTCTCACCCCTCTTAGCCAGCACAGCTGATGAGAGAATTGAGGGACACAAGCTTCCCATTTTTGAAAAACTATCAAAGTGTGGCAAAAAAAAGACCACACTCAGATATGCAATGAGAAGTTAGAATTAATAATTGCAGTTTACTGTTTATAAGCAGTATGATTAGCCACTCTTCCTTATGGCCTCCACTTGGCTCCTCCCACCCATGGGTGGGGCTAAACTGAACAAGAAACGAAAGGTCCAGACTTGGTATTTGGACTGTTGCTCCTATACAAGAAAAATGGGACAGCAACATCAATCTTGGCTTCAGATCAACGTGGATTTGATTTAAATCAAACTGATGGTTTAAATCACCAATAGTCAGTAAAACATTTCATTAAAATAATTTGATTTAAATTTCAAACATCGGATTTCTTCTTATTTTAAAATTTAAATTGAATTTTTTAAAACAAAAGGCTTAGTGACTAGTGATTTAAATCAATATTTAATCTGATCTGATTTAAATCAAATCCACTCTGCTTCAAATTCTGCTTGGCTGGGGGAGCAATAAATAAGGATTCTGGGTCCAGAAGCTGTGAGGAGCTTTTGCTTCCTTATTAATTTTTCTGGTTAGCCTAGCTGTTTCCACTTGCTTGTAAAGCTAGGAGGTAGGGGCCATCTAGCCCATGAACAATGTCAGAATGTCCAGGAACAAACAGGAATTTATTTTAATAGACATTATAGTTACTAAGATTTGTTTGTATGTTAGCTGCTATCACGAAAAATATTTTGGACAAACAGAGAATATAGAGACCTTCTGTTCACGGAAGCCAAGGCAGCAAAGCCTTCTGCATGCTGCATTCCAAGATATTTCCCACAGAAATAATTCAAGCAGAAATACTGTACACCTGTTCACCTAAGGGGAAATCCCAGTGAACTCAATGAGGCCTATTTCTGAACGGACGAACGTGCACTGTGAAGAACCCATCCTCTTGAAGACACACTCACGTTTTGGCTTCGCTGTCTTTCAGGATGTAGAGAACATGGCGGTTGGTTTGCATCCGCGAGGCACTGGTGATTGGAGTTGGCAGATTCTGGGCCTGAAACCAAGAAAATTCAACTTCCACTCAACTGAAGGACAGAAAGAAACACTTGGAAGGCCAGCGGGATAAAGTGATATTTGAACTGCAGCATATAACCCTTGGGAAGTAAATGATACTTTCTTGTAGTGATTGCTTTCTTGCAGCCTTTATCAAAAAATATGATACTTCTCAAAAAAAGTCCCAGGCCTACACAACTTGTGACCCACAAACACAGCCCTCTTCTTGTGGGCTCAGAAAGATTTTGGTTTATGCTGGCTCGCCTGGGACTTTAAACATAACAGAGATGCCATGTAAACAGTATTCACTTTTGTTGCTGTCGTGTGCTGTCCAGTTGCCTCCAACTTAGAGTGAACCTAGAAATGAGTGACGTCCGAAATGCCCTATCCTTAACAGCCTTGTTTAGCTCTCATAAAATCAAGACTGTGGCATCCAATTTAGTAGGCTACAAATTATGCACCTCAAATAGGAAGGCCAAGGCTATCTCATTTAGCATCTGGTTTATGTTTTTTTTTCATACAGTCCAAACTGTTTGTAATACAATGTTTCCCAACCTGGCGGTTGTGACATGTTTTCTGGGGGGTTGTGGGCCACTTTACATGTGTTGTAGCACATGTTAAATAATTTCTTCCTTGACCTTTCAGAGCAGGATATTAAAGTCAGCATGTATGTGTATGTATGAGAAATAGGCCTTTGGGTGAAGAAAGAAGCCTCTACTTTCTGAGAGGTAAAGGTAAAGGTTCCCCTTGACAATTTGTCCAGTCATGTCCGACTCTAGGCGGCGGTGCTCATCTCAGTTTCCAACCCATAGAGCTAGCGTTTGTCCACAGACAATCCTCCGTGGTCACGTGGCCAGCGGAACTAGACACAGGACGCTGTTTACCTTCCCACCGAGGTGGTACCTATTTATCTACTCGCATTTTTGCATTTTGCATGCTTTCGAACTGCTAGGTTGGCAGGAGCTGGGACAAGCGATGGGGGCTCGCTCTGTTGCGTGGATTCGATCTTACGACTGCAGGTCTTCTGACCTTGCAGCACAGAGGCTTCAGCTTTACCCTATGAAAAATGCCTTTTTATGCAAATGTGGAGGGGGCGGTCACACATTACTTAGCTATTATAAAAAGGGGGTGCAACTCAAAAATAGGTTGGGGACCACTGCTCTAAGGCTTAGGCTGTAAAAACAAACTTCCTTCATTTCATCAAGAAGACAGAGCAATGGGTCAACACTGTCTTATTTTCAAGCTCTGATCCCTCTGCTGGGGGAAGGATACAGTTTGTGGCCCAACACATTCTACAGGACACCATGTTGGGGAAAGCTAGTCTAACCCATTTCAGCACCACCGCCACCACCTTCTTTTCCCCACTTTCCCCAGAACCTATACCCTATTGCTTGGCCTTCCAAACATAAACCCTTGCCTACCTTGGCAGAGGCTTTGCCCATCTCATCTATGATCGTCATCAGCTGCTGTTGCAAGTCCACCCTGGCAATAAAGAAAATTAACTGTGTTATGATGGTTCTTTTAAAAAAATTACTTTATAATTTCACCATTCCCCCATCAGCGCTCAAAGCAGCTAATAGTATCATTAAAAATAAATTAAACAACAAGCTGTTCAAAGTGTCAGTAAAACCAAACTGAACAATAACACCATTAAAATCAATATTCAACACAAACTAAAACAGTTCAGCGGGACATGTAAAGATATATGCCTTCAGACTAATATAACAGCAAGACTAGGAACGGAGGGAGGGCATCCTATAAAGTGGGAAAAACAGAGCTTTCTGTGCATCCACTACGTGAACGTCTGCAGACATTACTATTCTCAAAAGGAATTTTCTTGGAGATCTTAACACCTGGACACGCTCACCATCAGACAGGCAGTTCCTTTGATAGCTAAATCCCAAACTGTTTACCTTTTTAAAAGTAAAAAAGAAACACCACGGCAATCGGCTTGGGACATATTTGGCAACTAATGCGGATCTTTCAGTACTAGCATAATACAATCTCAACACCATGCACAAGCGAGCAGCTCAGTTACTACATTCTGCAGCTAGTGAAGCTCAGCCGTTTAGGTATCTGGCTGCCGTGCCAGAGGCTAAGAGTCTGATCCCCCCACTGTGCCTGCTTTGATAGGAGCTGGACTCAGTGATCTATAGAGTCCCAGTTCTGTAGTCCTAAATTTAAGCTGCCTGGCTCGTAAGGTATCGGGATAGTTAACATGGCTGGTTGTTGCCAACTCAAGCTGATTCATAAAAGGTAATTTCAGCCACTATTGTCATCTGATGGTTCAGATCGAAGCAAAGAGTCAAGAAGAGCTGCCAGAGTAGAAATCTGACCTTTCAGAGGGACGGCAACCACTGCCAGAAAAGACTGGATCCCAATCCTTGAGCTCTCTTACTGTACCTCTGTCTAATGAGGATTTAATTTGAGTCTGTTCATCTTCCTGCAGTACACTGTCACTATCATATGCTTCCTTGATAGTTGGTGACAAAGAGGAAGATTCCTAGGTGTCATCAGTATATGGGTAACTTACTCAAAGATCTAACCATGATATAAATCTACTACCTAATTGTCTGACTTCTGATAAAGAACAGGTTTTGCATACTGGAGGCATAATAAGAAAAAAGAGCCAGCAAATTATCTGAAACTCATCTTGTCACAAACTCAGTTCCCTGATTTCAATGGGACTTTTCCCCACATATGTGTGCACAGCACCTCAGCTTTAAAGCTGTTGCCTCAAGACCACTGATCCAACTATCAGACCTTCCATTTCTCCAAGTGGAAAACTGATAGGGGAATACTTGGTATGTGTAGGTGTTTAGGGCATGCATATGTGTCTAGTCTGTCACTCTAACCACTACACCACTCTGTGTATCCAGTGTACATACTACAATACATAATGCCCTTTCATTGAAAAGGATCCCAGGTGACAGACTGACACACATACTATATGACATAGCAGTATTAAACTAGAAGATAGGATTATGCCCAGTGAGTTCAATTCCTCATCTATGCTTGCATAAAGAAACAGCTTAAGTCTTGGCAGCAAAGTGCCACTCGTTAATGAGATGCTGGTTGTATTCCTGAGCACACACCCAGGAATGCAACCAGCACCTCATTAATGAGTGACACTTTGCTATCAAGATATGCAATTTGCCTTACACAGGCAAGAATCAGCTATAGGATTTTGACCAATACTAATGGAACTACACATCTCCAACTAAGCGGACCCATAAACTGCAATCATTTGGCCTGCAAAGGCTATAGTTTATGAGGCTTATTCAGGCCAGAGATGGGTAGCAATGTTTTCCAGGTATGTGAGATGTTCAAAGAGGGGCTTAACACTGCCACCCCCAGGAATTTCCATAACTGAGTTGGGATTTGAACCACAGGATTTTGAGTCCAATACTCTAGGTCAGTGGCAGCAAACCTTTTTGGGCCCGAGTGCCCAAATTGAAAAAAAAAAACACAAAAAAAACAGTGGGCGGCAGTGGAACCGGAAGCGGTGGCGGAAGGGGAATTCCAGGCATCGGAAAAAAAACACACACACACACACAAAAAACAGTGGGTGGCGCTGGAACCGGAGGCGGAAGGGGAATCCCAGGCATGGAGGTGCCTCAAGGCCCCACTCCGGATCCACCGCCAGAGCCAGCTGCTCCGGATCCTGGCCCACCACCTGTCAAAGCACCAGCTGCATCTCCTTCCCGAGATTTGCCTGCAGGAGGTGGGGCGAGTAGCTGTGCCATAGGTTTGCAATCGCTGCTCTATGTACTATACCACACTCTACTAGATTTGTATGTGTGTTAAATCACAAGACAAGAAAATAAATGATGTATGTCCACATATCACATACAGTGGCAAGGATCAGTGTGCAAAAACAATGCTTTAAAGATAAACCAGCCAACAAGCCCAGAACGACACCAACAGCCTATTTTAATCACAGATTTGGCATGTGTGTGCAAAACATTTATCTGAACCTGCTGTGGCCAAACAGAGAAGAAATCAGTGGCGCTGACTAATTTTGACTAAACCTTTTGTTACAATAAATATACACTTCACCATGGAGAACTTCAACACACGCTTGAGATGAGAAGTGAATCTAGAATGGTGTGTTTAATGTTTCAAAACAAGCCCACAATTTATTTTAATTTTCTTTATCTGCTTAGATGTGCATCTACGGTTTAATGACTCTAAATAGGGACAGATACTACTATATACATATACTGCAACTAATTTAAGCATGACTCTTCATAAATCTGTGTCCCATCAACCCTCCAGGAGTCCAATGTAGTGCATGCAAGGGGGAGGGCACTTCATATAACAACTTGTGATGTGGGTTAGCAGCCGATTGTGGCTGGCAAAAAATAAGAAAAAAGTAAGTTGCTTGACTAAATCAAGAATCCCCTCGCTGCTGGATAGCTCAGTACTCTAGGTGTTTGGCTGGAGAGCCAGAGGTTGAGAGTTTGATTCCCTCCAGTGCCTCCTTGAAAGGGGATAGACTCCATGATCCACAGGGTCCCTTATAGCTCTGCAGTCCTGAGATGATGATGATGATGATGATGATGATGATGATGATGATGATGA